AGAGACAGAGACAGAGAGACAGAGAAATAGGGACAGGGGCAGGGACAGACAGATACAGAGACAGAGACAGATCTTGGGATTAGTTTCCAGGACAAATAAAATCATCCATCAGGCCTGACATTTGTTCATCTCTGTTGCTCATCTTTCACTTCTGGGTTTTGTTTCTTTCATCCTGAAAGTTCTAGGGTGAGCTTTTGCAGGTGAGGAACGCCTATCTCTTTAGGGACTAGCTGCAAGTGGGCTAATTGCAAATTTCTGTCACTGTGTGACAGAGTAGCTGCCTACTCTGACTACTTTGCTTATTTAAACTTTTGGGGGCAAATATGTGGTTTCCTCAAAAGCACGCATGGCTCGTGGAAGGACCTAGGCCTGGCTTATGCCACTGTAGTAAAGCAGCTCTAGAACATTCCGTGCTGAGGCTAATTGAAACAGAGCTGCTTTTAGTGTTTATCATGTTGAGAGGCAAAATTTAAAAGAAAAACAGAAGCTACGACTTCATTTAAGGTCTATGCCTTACAACACAGAAGAGAAGGCCTTACCTAGCAGCTACAGCGCGCCCTGTGATTTACAAGACGCTACCCATCAGACCCCTCAAAGCATTTGTCTTAAGAATAGTGGGTTGTGTGGACAGACATCAACTAGGAAACATTTGAAGTAATTCGGTACCTACTTCATTTGCTTAACGATAGTACTTTTTCCAGATTCGCCTGCTCCTACAAGGAAAAGAAGAGAATGTTACTGAGTGACTCATCAAATTTATATACATATTGAGAGCCTATCACTGTCTCATGTGTAAGTCGTTCCCACGCACCTCTCCTGGAGTAGCTTCTGAAGAAGGAGTGTGTCCTGTCCAAAAGTGGCACTGTACCCGAGTGTCATTTGAGAACCTAATTATTGCCTGGCTTTGCACCAAGGGAACAGTCCCCAGTGTGCATCGTCCGTAAGTCACTCACATGCTCCCTGAAGTCCCCCTCATAAAGCCTATTTGACTAAATGATGAGAGAAGGAAAATTTAGGTGGTCTGCTTTTGTCTCCAGACCTGTCCCCAGCCTGTTCTGGGTACATCGCTCTAGCAGAGATTTACCTCGGTGCACAGGTGGCATCTCATCTGTTCAATGGGGGAAAGACTGCTGGTGACACTAGGCAACTGAGGGGCACCTAGGGATGGAACCCATGTGTGAGTGTCTCACGGCGCGTCCTGTGCTCCTCCATGCCGGGTGGGAGGCGCTGTGGAGGGCAATGGAAGGGGCCAGCAGGACTGGCGCAGGAAGCCCTCCGCACTTCTCGGGCACATTTGTTTTAGTTGATGATGTACAATATAAAGTACGGTTTTGGTACCAGGCTAACTCTGCAAACATCATGTAGAGAAACTCATAACAGACATGATTTTAAAGAGAGGAAACACGAGGCCTTAATGAAATGTGAGTGGTCTGTTCAAGGTTCTCGGGAGGCTTCTGCAGACGTTTCTTGCATCTCACTTGCCAGTAAGTAGTATCTTTCTGGGAAGTGAAAACGATGAAGATTTAAAATAGAATATGATAACCCAGGTCTGAGGTCTGTTTCCTTTTGTGTGTGTGTGTGTGTGTGTGTGTGTGTGTGTGTGTGTGTGTGATACTTCAAAAAGTCCTTTACCCTCTTAATTTTCTCATCTACAAACTGATTTCTTACCTCCTAAGGACATTAGAGAATTCTCACTATATAGTAAGCATGGAATTATTTGCAAACTACAGTATAAAGCATAAAATAATGATATCTGAGAATCCAAGGATCAAAAAATTGGAAGTATTCTAATTGCTTTTGTATCTACCCTGCGGATGTATCCAGTGAGTGACCTTAATTAAACAACACTGACTAATGCAACAGTACACCAAAAGTTAATTTGAAGTTATTCATAAACTTAATACGCAACTTAAAACTATAGAAGTTTTCCAGAAATTCATATGTGAAAAATATTCACAGTCTTGAACTAGTCAAAAATTAGATAAGATACAAGTAAATGAACAAAAGTAAAAAAAATTGAGAAACAGGAGTATCAAATTTAAGAAAAGACAAAGGGATAGGCCACTGTATATAAGAGAAAGTTTATAACATACGTATCAGGCATAGCATAGATATAAAATAGAGTAAGCTCCATGGGGCTCAGTAGATAAATATAAGGCTGGTGTGTGTGTGTGTGTGTGTGTGTGTGTGTGTGTGTGTGTGTGTATTTGGTACAGGGTTTCCTACACATCTCAGACTTATAGTGATCCTCCTGTTTTCATCCTCTGTAGTGCTGGGATTACAGGCATTTGCCACCATGCGTGGTCTCAGTGGCCAACTCAATACCCATGGGGGAGGGGCCGGCCTGGCATGTGGTGCCAGGGATCGAATCCTGGTCCCTGAACTTGCCTAAGCAGGAGCTTAGTCCACTGAGGTATCTTGCAGGTACTTACAGAGCACATTTATTTATTTATTTATTTATTTATTTATTTATTTATTTATTTATAAAGCTGTTTTAAATGATAGGTATGCTTATGAAAAGATTCCAAAAATAACTAGGACTTTAAAGAATGAAAATGACAGAATTGAATGAATGTTTTTGTTTAACGTAATCTGCAAGCTGTTTGTTCTCTCTAAAACTTATTGAAATTTAATCCCCATTGGGTTATTAAGAGAACCAGACAAGATGTTTAAAAGCTGACCAAGGCTCTGCCTCTCTGAATGGTTTAACCCATTAATGCAATGAATGAATTAATAAGCCAATAGATTATGTTAAGAGTTCATCCGGCTCTTGCTCCAGCCCTGCGCCACCTTGGGCGTCACCAGCTGTGCAGCCTGGTGATGCCAGCAGAAGCGACCCTGTTTCCTTTATCACTTACCCAATCTGGGTGCTGTCGCATCAGCAGCAGGAAGTGGGCTGGGACACTTACCTGTGAATGTCAGTAATGTGGGGGAGGGGAGAGAAGGAGTGAATCCAGGCAAATGGGAAATTGATGTTTGAAGGTGCTGGTTTATCTACGGCTTAGAGAAATTCAGGGATTCACTAATAGTGAGTTTTCTAGTAGTGGAAATTAGTTCAAATACTTTTCAATTTGAACATGAGTAAAAGTTTTGTGAAGAAAACAGCATTACTCGATGCAAAATCATATCACTTAAAATGTGTTGTTAGTCTACAATTTATCAACAGACATATGCTCATGAGCCATGAGCACCACAGGGTGATCTCCGATCCCTGTGAGTAGATTTTTAGACTCTAATGCCAGTCTCTGCGTCTAGAAGAGAAGAGGTCTTGGCATATCATGCCTGGACCTCAGGATGTCTTCAAAGTCTAAATGTATCAACTAATTTTGGGCAAATTTCAAAATTTCACAGCTGAGGTGTGTCCAGATTTCTCATTAAGGCAGACATACGTTTCACTGGTATGTCAGTCAACTGCCTTCTGTTCCCCAAAGGGCATGATGGTTATGTCAGCAAAAGGGACACCAACTTTGATAACCCTCATTCGCAAGAATGCTACCTGAATTGCATTAATGTAGAGGGACATGGCAGGCTCTGCAGACCCCGCTGAGCTATTTATTTCCACTCTCCTGCACTCTGTCTTCCTTCCCCTACTCTACCTTCATTTTCCCCTAACATTTATCTTTCTCCACTTGCTGTAAATTTCTCATATTCCAAAGCACTTAGGTTTCTACCTACCTCAGTAGAATTTCAATGAAACCATTGAATTCTTTCAACTCAAACCTAAAAATTAAGATTCTTTCCTTCATATCACGTGCCACTTTTTCTCACTGAAATAGTTCTGTGTTAGTTACAGAAACCTAAGCCCTGGTGAAGGATAAGGCTACACCAAAGCATAATTCTATTTCAGAGCAAATTTTTTATTGTCTTTGGCACAGTTCAATGTATCCAGCTCCTGCAGTTGTCTGAAACAGCCGCCTTCTATAATCTTGAACAATCACAGTAAAGAAGCTATGAGAAATCATGTCTCTGTGCCTGAAGATGCCACTGAGATTCTTCCCCTTGGCTAAGGGGAATTCTTCCTCTTATGATTTTGTGCTAAAGTGCTCCATCATACAGGCAGAAAAATTTACCAACAAAACTCATAAATATAGCAATTCAACACAGTAATTTGCTGATAATTCTTCACAGAATTTACTTAACATCACTAAGTATAAATTTATAGACTGGGTGTCACTGTATCATCTAACAGAGATTGTTATGCCCAAGAATGGGACATCTAAAGAGAAAATAAAACCACATTAGGTTATCATCTACTGTGAGAGATATCTGGCGTGTTATCTGGCAGGGAATGTAATGATGTGTGTGAGTAGTGAAACACAGCGATCTTCCAGGACATTTTTGGGTTGGTGGCCTTAGACAACGTGCAGCTTGCTGTGGACCGTGAGCCCCTGGAATGAAAGTCATCTCATAACGGTAGAATAGGGTGTGAGGAACTGCAGCACCGTCCTAACCCAATGACAATTTTGTAGATTATTACGACTTTAAATTTTTGTATGTATCCTTATGAACTTTAAAATGAGAGGTGAAGGAGTGTGGTCAGCAGTTCAGTGGACTCTGGATGTGGCAATAGCAGCTAATGCAATTGTGGCACGGTATCTTGGCCAATCTAGGGGGAAATACTTGGAACAGCACCTGAGAGAAAATCCGAGGTTGCAAAAGAATGTTTCCTTTCTGCATATCTAATGCATTTCCTGAATTATAATACATTCTCATTGCTTATTGTGTGATTTCTATTGTGCTGTGAAAATTATACAGAACATTGTAAGGATGGAATATCTACTTGGAGAATGAGAAGGATTTCCATCTTTTTTGGGGGGAGGGTACTGGGGATTGAACTCAGAACTTTGCACTTGCCAGGCAAGCGCTTAGTCTACTAAGCTATCTCCTCAGCCCCAGGATTTCTAGTGCTTTTCTTTTGTATTATTCTTTTTTAAAACCAGTTCATGTTTATGGTCCATAATGATGACATTCATTATGTGGAGTTGGCACTTGGACCTTCCATGCCTCAATTCTTGGGTTATTCCCTTCCTCACCCTTTCCCTTCCTTTTGCAGGAGTTCTATCTCCCTCTGTTCTATCTAGAATTTGGGTAAAAGGTAATGGGTCAGTATTATGTGTGTACTTACAATTTATGAGGCCCTGGGTTTGATTCTCAGCACAACATAGTTGCACACACACACATACACACTCACACAAAGCCACACACACCCCACGCACAGAATATTTCTAGACTGTGTGAGCAATATAAACTCTGACAAAATACCAATTACAAACCACTATTGGGCTGAGTATGGTGGCTCACACCTATAATCCCAGCACTCGGGAAGCTGAGGCAAGAGGATTGTTGTGAGTTTGAGACTAGCCTGGTGGGCTCAAGGCCAGTCTGAACTACACAGTGAAACCCTGTCTCAAAAAGACAAAATGCACATAGAAAAATGCACCACTGTGGGTTGCATTAAAAATTCACAAATAGATCCATGTATTCATGCCATGTCTCTATTATGGACTACTCAAAATCTATCACAAATTTGGGGAAAATGTGATTCACAAACCACATCAGAAAGCTCAGGGACGTTTGCAATGGTCTTCCAATCACTAGGCATTCTCCCTCAGGCCCTGAGTCAGCTCTAATTACATGTAGTACCCACTACAATATAAATACTTGCTCTACAGTATTGGTTAGGAGACAATGACAAGAAGAAGGCCTGTACATT